CGTGCTGTTGATGTTTGTCTGCCATTCTTACTCTGTCTGCACAGCGTGCGTGAACGCTTTGATGGCGTATCCTGTCTGTGCGAACCGGGTGCGCAGAGGTATGCTAATACATATTTGACAGGCAGGTAGGAAAGCCAGTTAAAACGCTCGGACCGAGCGTTTTGATTGGACGAACGTTTCTTGGTCCTATGCCTTCCACAGAATATAGAAATACATTTAGACCACTTAACTTAATGATTGCTATCAGGATGTGAAGAGACTTTCAACCAGCATAACAAAAACTGTTTCTGAATACAATCACCTATTGCACCTTTAAATAACATATTATGCTGTACTGTTAAAAATGTTGTGGTCCGTAAGATTGTTTGTTAAAGAAACAAATACAGAACACATTGAACTGATCAAAAGTGACATTTTTTGTAAAAAAAAATAAATATATATAATAATAATATTATATATATATATATATATATATATATACACACATACACTATTTCAAGTGTATATTTTTCACTATTTTCCACTATAAAAAAAAGATAATTGTTTTCCGGAAATTTGTTTTTTAAGTTGCACAACTGTTCTAAATAAGAAATGTTGAATATATGAAATATCAACATACGAAATTTTATGAATTCATATGAAATGCCATCAATGAATAAATTGCATTTTAAAATATATTAAAATACAAAACGGTTATTTTAAATTGTAATTATTTCACCTTATTGGTTTACTGTATTTTTGATCAAATAAAAGCAGCCTTGTTGACCATAAAACCATAAAAACTCACACCAACCTTGCTGATCCCAAACTTCTGAATGTGTCAGCCATAAATGTACTTGAATAAAACATGAGTAAGGCCACCTACATTTGCTTCCAGGTAAATTCATGTTAATATCTTAACCATGTAATTTATGTATTGATTCAGATCACTGTGATATACTGAAAAAAATAGAATATACTGTAGAGCTCACAGTTTGACAGTGAATGTTGTATGGAAACATTAGCAACAGTTCTGTTTACTTTAAGGTCAGCTGTGAGAAGAGTTTGCACAAAAAAAAAATTTAAATCAATTATGCAATAATTTGTCAATTTCTTTAAAGAATGGCAGATAAAACACTTTGTAATGTCAAATCAATAATATCGCATCAAATACACTTTAAAAGCACATTACTGAAGAGAAGAAAAAAAGTCACTGTTTAGAGCTTAAAAAAAAAACACCTAAAAATAACTTCTACCCTCTGAGTGGAAAAAAAGCTCATGGGAATTGGAAAAGCACAGCACAAACAAAGGCAAGGTAATGATTAATGACTAATGATTCTCAGGGAACACGCATACTGATCAAATAAGTGACTGACTACTGAAGCCGCTTTGCATAAAAACAGCTGGCAAACGCATACATGTAAAGTGCTACCACTCAGAGCTAGCAACCGCAGAAACAGGTTTAGCATGACCAGACATTTGGTTTAAACAGGTTTGGAGTGAATGAGGCTGCTGGACTCACCTGTGACAGATGAGAGGAGACAGGAGGAGAGGGCAGGCTCATGGCTGATGCCCGACTTGTTGTAGACTTGGCACTCTGACTAGTCCCTCCCACTGGCCTCTGCCGCTGGCTGTGATTGGCTGGGACTGCTGAAGGGGAGGGGCTACCGTCCTGACACCCTACAGACAGGGACGTGGCCATCGGGGCGGTGTTGGTGTTGTTGGCGCCACCGGTGGGTGGACTACTGGATTTGTGTCCACCTGCAAAACTGTAACTGGCCTGTCCTGATCCGGATTTGACTCCGGATCCCACTGCGGTTCCTTGTGTGGTAAACGGCGGCCTGAAGGTTGGAATCTTGGGGCTGTATTGGTGCGAGCTGGGGATCATTTGAGGCCTGGGGTGGGTGAGAGAGGGAGATGATGAAGGCGAGGGTGAGGATGAAGAAGGAGGAGTAGGGGCAGGGGGTCGTGGTGTGAGTTTGATAATAGGAGAGCTGCTACTGTGGGAAGACTTGGTGAGCGTGGCCTGCATGGGCGTGATGAAGTTTGACTGGTTGTGTGGCATTGAGGGAGTCTTGGCCTGTGATAGTAGAGTGGAAGGAGAGGAAGTGGTTGGAGGGGGAGACTGCTGAGGACTCTTGGGATTAATCAGAGAGGGATGAGTGTTCATACGAGGCTGCTGGGAAACCACAGTACCGCCACCACCAGTAGTGGATTTGTTAGCACAGTTTTTTGTTTGTCCAACAGGGGGCGGAGTCTGAACCAACTTCACTCCCATTGTCCCAAATGACCTCTGCTGCGGGGGCAAGAGGGGCGAGGCGGTAGGGGGCGGACGGGGTTTTGCAGACTGCGCCGTGTTCATTCCTGAAATGCCAGCTCTGTGAGTGGGCGTTCCCGAGGGTCTCTGCACAGGCCCGCCGTCCTTCAGCATTCTGAAGTTTTCGCCTCGCATGGAGGAAGAAGGAGTCGAGGTGAGCGGAGAGGAGAGGGAAGGAGAGGTAGTTAGAGTGCTCATATTTGCCTTTGAGATGCCAGAAGACTCCATTTTTGCTGGAAGGGTGGAATGTGACAGAGGTAAGGAGAAGTGGCTGACTCCAGATGAGGATCCGGGGACACAGAGAGAAGAGGCGGCGGGAACGCCATTGTTTGGCGTCAGTCCCTTGGCAGCGTTACTGAGGAGAGCGAGAGCTTGGGAAATGGAGTCTAGAGAGTTAGCGGCCAGATCCTCGTCCAGTGAATCCGAGAGGCAGATGGGTTCAGAGGAGGAGGAGGGCGGTCTGCATGCTGGGGCGGGTAAGGCAGGTGAGGCAGAGGTGGATCCAACACCTGGAGCGGGTCTCTGTGTCCAGCTGACGTCCTGAAGCAGATGTAACCACAGTCAACAGGAGGACATATAAAACTGATGAATTTGCACCATTTGAATATATGGATGTCATGGTGGAAAACTGCTTCAAATTTACATACCGTCATTTTGGCAGCTTTTGGGGTTGGAACAATCCTTTTCTTGCCCCTGTTAAAAAAACAATTCAGCAATCACAATGACATTAAAAGCCATTATTGGAGTAGTTTAAAGACCTGTTTACACCTAGACAAATAATCAGTGCGATAAACGTTGTAATTTGGATGTTAATGCATCTGTTCAGACGGTCAACATTTGCATGGCTTCAATGCAAAATATTGCGAATAAATCTGTCCAACCAATAAGATTTGCACTTATGGCCACATGATGCCCAGATAAAACTACTACTTGGTGCTCACAAACAGGATTTAGTAGAGGAACAGTTCAGAACCGACTCTCTTTCTCTTTACTCATGCATTTGGTGTCGTTTGATAAACAATACAGCGAATACAAAAATCTGAACGGCTATTTGAAAACATGTAAATACTGTTTGACCTCCTTTCTTCTCTCTGATAAGCAGGTGTCAGAATCAGAAAGTTGCACAGTGCTTTGTGTACAGGGCAAAAGCACATTTCTGCTTTTCTGTAAGTGCCACCAACAGTCATTTTTGTGCCTTGGTCTGAAGAGACAAATCGCATGCAAAAATTAGGTCAGATTTTTGTTCCAAAAATGTATGTTGATGTGAACAGGCCTTAAACGAGAGAATCTCCACATGATCCCACTGCCCTACATCAAATCTGTACCTTTTTAGACATCTGATTTCCATTGCAAAATCAAACCTTCCATTTTTAACCTACATAATCTACTGTCGAATCTACTTCAAGAACAAAGTGGCCAACACGGGTTGCTCTTTCTCTCAAAATCCACTTCTTGACTCCTTAATCCACATAAATAACATCAAGGAAGAGAAAAATACACCAGGTTTTTACCATCCACCACACAAACAGAGCAGTGTAATTTGCTTTTTTATTTTCCATGCACTCACTGTAACTTAATTAAGTTGATCTCTGGCAGAGCAACCCTCGAGTCATTATATATTTTGTGTGTTAAAATGAAAATGAAGCCTATTTTAGCACCATAATTTTTGTATTATGACACTAATTACATAACAATTAAGCACATTTGGTCTCAAACTCAACATTGCCATAGAAAAGCATTGAATGAAGTTCGAGTGACTCCCTATTAGGGACTAACGTTAGGTTATATGTGCTGTGCTCTAGGTAAGGAGACATGAGAGACCACTCACAAAACCTATTAATATTTCAGGATGTCTGCCATCAACTGAAATTAGAAGGACATCTATAGCATGGGGTGCTAGAAATATAACTTCTCAATGAAACTTTAGAAAGGGGAATGTTTGGGGAATGCATCACAATTTACAATACGGTTCAAGTAAACTAAAAAAACATAAATAGCTTAAAAATGTAATAATGGATAATCCCATTACAAATCCTTATTTGTTTTCTCCACATCATTCCAATTTTTATTAACCAGCCAGGGGGGGGGGGAAGTTTCAAATATTCAGAATATTTTAATTAAACATTTCCTGTATTTGGACACATAAGTTAATAAATCATCATTAGTATGATCGCTTGCACACTCCGTTTCTAGTCTTTAGACAAATAAGTAGTCAAAACAGCAACTCACCAACGATATATCATTTTAGACCCAGATATATTTGCACTCACATTAAAGTCATTTTATGTGCTATATAAGAAAATTCACTTTGCTTATCACTTTTTTTATGCACATCTGTTAAAAAAAGGCTTGTGTTTATCATGGACCCTTTGTATACGGCCATGTGCAAAACCTAGCCTAAAGAGACAACACAGCTTACCCAATCAAACATCTTACTCTTCTCCCCACTATGTATGTTCTATGTGGTAATTGCAAACATTAGTGTAAATATATATATGAAGAGGTTGATCTACTCACAGGCCAGTGAGGTGACCATGTACCGCACGACTCTCCTTAAAAAGCATCCTGAAAAAAAAAAAAAAAATGTCTAGTTGCATGCTATTCTACTAGAAGAAAGTCACATTAGCATTAGTCAAGCACACACCTGGTCTGCATCCAGCCTTTGGGCCAGAGTGGCTTGACTTCATTTTCCATGAAGGCTTTGAGATAGTCCTCCACAGACAGAGAGCACTGCTCCAGCTCATAACAGCTCAGCTTCACACGCACCAGGTTACACAACAGAGTCCTGGGAAAAACAACACACATGCACAGATTTTGGGGCCAACCCTTGATTTCTTACACCGATAGTCTATTGGTGGCTCTGCTTCATTATTAATTTTAATAAGTCTAAACCTGAGTTTGTCATCCCATATGAACTTCTTCCTTGGTCCCATCACCCTCTTTCCTGGTTTTTCTTCATCATCATCCTCTGATCCGTTCTTCTCTCCATCTTCTATCTGCTGCCTGTGACACGCACGCACACAGTCAATCTCATATATATGTCCATACCATCCGTCATTTTCCACAGTCCATTCCGCTAATCTACACAAGCAAATCATGAAAGCACAAAGAGGCAGGAAGTTGAGAAAGTTTAAGACTTACTTAGCTGCAGCTTTTGCCATGCAGTCCATGTTATATCTGGAGATCTGCTCTGGCATCACGCTGCACACGGCGAGTTTGAGCTTTAACAGGGGTGTGCGCAGGCGGTCATCCTGATTAAAGAGAAAGACAACACGGAGACATTTGAGAGATGAGAGTTGTATCCAGTGTTGGGAAACTGATCTAAACTATAGCCTGTCTTACAGTCTTACTGCTACAAGCTAGCCATAATTTAAAGTAGTTAAACTACAGTTAATCTGTTTGAAAATTACTGCACCAAATGATAGCAGCACTACATTAAAGTGGTTGAAAGGGCCAAAGTCTTCTTAAATGATTTTGCAATCAGAATCATTCACCTGGCGCAAAAACTATGGATCTCAGGTGACAGTGTTAAATTTGAACAGATAAATGTATGCTAAACGCAAACAACCAGTGCAGGGCTCGCAAAATTTCAAAATCCCTGGTAGCCCTTCGGGTAGGGTACTCTTCAGATTTTGGTAGCCCGAAAATTAATTTAACTAGCCCAAATAAAAAAGACCTTTTTAAAAAAAATATATATATATATAGAAAATCAGATAGGAGTTTAAATGTCAATCAAAAATATTTTCAATACACAAATATCAACAATTATGAAGGAAGGAATTTTATTTCACTATTTACAGGGTATCTGCAGAATTTTTAAAAATAAATGCAAGTCAATTTATGACCCATTTTAAGAGCTGCACAAGTAAAATGAACACAGTATGAGTGGGGTTGGACAATGTCTGTGGTAACACAGTGCTGAGCCATAAAATTACATGATTTACAGTTCAGATACAGGTTTTCACAAAAACAAAAATCTTATACAACAGCATTTCAGCCTTTAGACCATTTTTATGAAAAGGGATAAATTAAGGATATAAATTATTATATTAATTTAAAACGTATAAATATTACTGTCTTAATTGTTTAGATTTTTAGAAGGCACATTAACTACTTTCTCATTTACAAATCCATGTGTTTGCTGCGTAAAAACACGAGTTGATATTTGATCTGACCATAAACAGCAAGAAAGGCTTGTTGGAAATGCAAATTCATTCTCTGCCACGAGGTGGCGCTTTAGGGGTGCTGAAATATTGCGGTTTCCCCGGTAACGGCTGTACACAAAGCAGCTCCGCTCATTCACGCTGCTTTATCAGGAATTATAGGTAAAATGAAATTAAAATGCCAATGACACGTTTCTGAGGACAGTCGGTTGCCTTCAGATACATTCAAATAAAGACATCCACGCCGCGTTTTGCCTTTTGAAGTTTAATCCAGCCATATCGTGACTCTTGTCTTTCCGTCCCCAACTGTAAGACCTCTTGAAATTATAATTAAGACATTTCTTATACCATTTAACGTATTTAAAACTTTTTATGGCCTTAAGTTTGATAACTCACTTTAGGTGTTTTTAAGGACCCGCGGGAGAGTGGTGATACATTTTGGTAGCCCGACTGAAAACACAATAGCTAGCGATTTTGCGAGCCCTGCAGTGAAACTAGAAATCACCCCGAATAAACTTGAAATGAATAATAATGAAAAACAGAAGCATTTAACTTACAATATTTAGCTTCAAAAAACAAGAGACAAAACTTCAGCCTGTTTCACACAGCATAACTGCGACTGCAGGATTATGTTGTGCTTTCACACTTTCATTACTTCACACAGAAAATAATGATTTCTGGGTAACCACATTAAATACTTTCATTAATTATAAATCATGTAATGTGAATGTCGTACAGTCTTGCTCGAGACTAAAAAAACGAGTTGAAAGCGTACTGAGCCGGAACAGACACTGTTTCTCAAGTGCTTTCCGCAAGCGTGATTCGAGACGGAGTGAAATACGGACAAATGCGGTTCATTCATTCGTTCATAACCACTCATAACAACCCCCCCACCCCCCCAGTTTTGCATAGGGCCCCCAGAAGTCTAGGATCGGCACTGAATTATAGTCATAAATTATAAACTTGTTAATGAAAATGGCCAACTATTAATTACGACTACAATCTTGACCACTGTGAAACTTAAATCGAAATAAAAGTAGAGGAATCACATTTACGCCTAAATATTAATGATTCTACAAAAAAGGAGTCTAAGTCTTAAAGTATAGCTATAAACTATTCAAGTGAATTGGTGAATAATTTATTTGAACCGATTTATCAACTGATCCTATTTTTCAACCTATTTTTGTATGTCCCAACTCTATACGATGAAGAGAGAGATGTTCTAGGACAATGTTGTTATTAATATGAAGCATTATGCTACACTATTTAAAAAACAGCGGACAAAATTGAAACGTAATTAAGTACTTTCCGCTACACCAACACTAGTATCATTACCAAGTACAAACACAACAAATATTGTTCTGGTGTTAGCGTAAAATCTCAATACCCTATGGGAAAGTATCGTATAGTCCTTCACCTGGATGTTGAAGCTGAGTTTCTTGAGTCGTTTTAGTAGCGCCTCCTTGTTACAGGGCACAAAGGCTTCCAGGTGAGAGTACACCTCAGAACGAATGTTTGCCGGCTGCTCCTGAACCTGCAGCTCAATACTGAACGAGAAGAAAAATGATCAACGGCAAGAAACAATAGACTATGAGAAACGACCACCAAATTTAAAGTCACAGATAACAGCTGAACGAGAACATGCTGAGATTTTACTTACTCCAGCAAGATATTATTCATATCCAGTGTGAAGAATTTCTTTCTGCCTTCTTGATCAAATTGCCTCGATGCCTGAGTTCAAATAAATAAAACAAACAAAAAAAAGTTAGGCTGGAAAATGATATTACTGTCAGAACATGAAGTCCCTGAAGTGTTTTTAAAATGGGAAGTGGATTTGTGGGCGTATATTCGCTCTCTTTCTGTAACTCTATGCATTTACCTTCAGTGAAAACATTTAACGCGTTGCATTTTAAAGTTAGATGTAATGCAGTTTATATAACAGGTAGCCATCACCAAAAATTTTCAGTGGCCTTTATTCTTATAAATTCATCTGCTCTCACAGAACAGGCTGAAATAGATTTTAAACCACTTTCTGATGGCCTTAAAGATGCAATTTCATACATTTTATTCTTAGGTCTACTTATAACATTAGTAGAAGTCATCATTTCTAAGACGTCTATGTAAAAGCCTCTGCAGTGCTTTGGCTGTGAATCTGCAATAGTTAAACTGTCCCATCCATCAATAGCAATCTCTTAACAAATCCTGCAATACATTGTGAGACATTCGCAAAACAGACTGTGCTGAAATTTGTCTCTGATCAGATCAGACTGAAATCATTAGGGATCTTGTTAAAAATAAACTTCAGTCAGCTAACATTAGAGACATAAAGAGCTTTTTTTTTTTTTTTAAGAGCGTGGAATGAATAGATGGATATTTGAGTTCTTAAAGCCCCCAGTATGGTTTCGACTCTTATTTAAAAAGAGAAATATTTTGTTTTTTCATGACATGACCCTGTTTAACTGAAATGAGGGCTGCAGAAAAATAACACAACAACTCACAGCTCGAAGGTCTTCTATGCGCTTGATCAAGGGGGCTGGAAGACCATCGGGGAGAGGTGGAAAAGAGATGAGACCATCCTGCCCTCGATTCAGTCCCCCTCCTCCAATCTTATGCCCCAATGATGAACCCAACCCAACCTGTCCATTCTCTCTGGCTGATGGGGGCATCTGAGGCCCTGCTTCCAAAAAACTAAAATCCAGGTCATGCATGAGATCCTGAAGCTCGCTTTCATTGGCCGAACTAAGCAATGACATCATGGCGGGGTCAGCCGTCAGGTCGGCTAGTGAAAGGTCATTGTTGTTGGCATTGGCTTGGAGATGGGAGTTCTGCAGTAGGTTGTTGGGGTTGGGAGTGCTGCTGGTGAGACCAGGACCCGGATGAGACGCACTGGCATCCCGTTTCCGCATCTCTTCCTTCTCTCGTGTGAAACGGTGGAGCACTGCAGCCAGACAGAGCGAATCCTTCATCAGTTTCTTCCGCTTCTTCTTCTCAGGGCGATGAACACTCAGACCAGCCACTCTGTGAGCAAATATATGGTCGAAAACTGATTAAAAATGCATTCATATTTAGCTAATTCACGTCAACTACACAAACAGCTTAGTAAAGGCACACTTTTAAGAAAAATAATTTAAATTGCATGATGTATAAAGGTTCCGTTTTCAAAAATCAGTTTTACAAAATGTATATATACAAAAACTAATTCTTACCCTTGTTTAGCTACTTTGTTCTTCCTGGGTTTTTTCTCCTCTATACTGGTTGCATCTTTCTTCTTCCTTCTTTTTATCAGTGGTTCCTCTCCATCTCGCATCTACAAACGTCATAATTAGGGTTTTATGAAAAACGGATGGCAATTCTGCCCTTACTCACCCACATCGCTCCAAACCCATAAGATTTTGTTAATCTTTGAAACACAAATGAGGATATTTTATTGAAACGCGAGAGATTTCTGTCCCTCCACCAAAACTTGAAAAAAGTTAATAAAAATATTGTTAAAAAAAAAACAATTAAAGCATATTATTAAAGTGTTTAAACCACTCTGTTCATATGTTTTAAAAGATCACCAAAAGTTTTATGGGTTCGCAACGACATTAGGTTGAATTTTCATTTTTGGGTGAACTGTCTCTTTAACAGGTCTATATATCATTTAGTGGCCCTGTTTACACATGGTAACAACATCCGTCTGGGGTGATCTGATCACAAGGGTTCAGTCGAGACAGATATTATAAATAGAAGTGTAAATGGGGTTCAAATTGTTTTGTGATCTGGTCACTCAAACCACATCTGAATAAAGTCACACGCGAAGGGTTTTAAACTCTGAAGATTTCATGCTCCTTAATCTGATCTGATTTGGAAAAGTCAACCTTATACACATACACCCATTTGTGGTAAGATTAAATTTAAAACAAGCATTTAGGAGCAACAGCATGTCAATTCTTTGCTTTAGCATAGTAAGAGAAATCGGAGATCCTCCCTTTGACAACATCACAAGTGGTCTAACGAGATACATTGCAGATGTATAATAAAACCCAATGTCAATGTCTATCTATCTCAACTGACCACTTCTGACCGGATCACCCACGATGGACATTAATAACCAGGTGTGCACAGGGTCATTTGGCAAAAACAACGTAAACTCACCCTGGATTTTTCTTCTTTGCCCCTATCCTCTCCCTCAGATTCAGAGGCAGCTCTGAACTGCAAAGTACCCGTATTAATGTAGAATCCACCAAGCTTAGTGGTCAGGGAGGCTGGAACAAGCTCATCATACTGACAGGAAGAAGACACAATGATTCACACTGTTTGTTGTCTGCATTTCTGAGGTTATGGCAAAGTTTTAGGCCGCTATGATGGCAAAAATGACTCCACAACCACACAGTTCAAATCAATCCATAAGGTAAATCTAAATATATCCATCACTGATTTCAATATGAATGGAAAAAAAACACCCCTTAAGTTCAGAGAGCAATGAGACAGAGTTGGTAAACAGCATGTTAAATGCCAATCGATCATCTCCATAGTGATGTCTGTCTGTTGCCATGGCAAGTGCCCACTCACAGCTTCCGAGTTGTCTATGAAGGGGTCACTCTCATCGTAGCCGAAGCCAATGTCAATCAAATCCTGCATCCGATCTTTCCGCCTCTTTTTCCCTGCGTTACCCTGTAAGGACGTCGGTGGTAGCGGCAACGTGACATTTGGCATTTGAGTGCCCACACATTTGAATATGCAACTAAAAATCATAGAACAACACTTACGTATTTGCTTTCAAACTTTTTGGCCAGTGCCTCGACCTCCCGACGTTCTCTCTCATCAGCATTAAAGGGATCATTGGGGTCCAAGGAAGATTTAGAATCTGGTGGATTCTTCTTGGCCTGTGGAACGAAAAATGTGTGAGCGTAATCACTCTAGTAAGGCTAGTTGGGACATTTAATTTTTCCAGCTTGGCTTGGTGGATCAGAATGAGTACAATACATTCTGTATCAGTATTATTCTGGAACATTTTATTTTTTTCCATTCAAACTTAAATGGATATTCCACCCAAAAATAATACATTAAAAAAGTTTCAGAACTGCCTCGATGCCAGTTTCAGTTTCCACTTACTTCTATTGTTTGTTTGTTTTTTTGTCCATACAATGGAAGTAAATGGGAACCGAAAGTGTGTTAGGGTTATCAACATTCTTCAAAATATCTTCTTTTGTGTTTCACAGAAGAAAGAAAGTCATACATGTTTAAAATGACATGAGGGTGAGTAAATGATGACAGAATTTTCATTTTGGGGTGGACTATCCCTTTTAGGTCCATTCACACTAAGGCCGAAAGCTAGTTTTAATTAATAATTGTTAATATTCTACAAGAATAGGGCATTCCACACCACAACTATAACAATAATGACACATAGGAACAATATAAATGGAATCACTTTCAAAAACGATAAAGACAAAGACAGCCAATCAGAATCTAGCCGACTTTAAAGAGCTTATGCATTTAAAGCTGCAGAAAACATAACTGCAACACATGCTTATAATAAACAGATCTAGCTTTTATTCAGTTTGAACTGGTATTGCTTTAGACTCCATTGTCATGTGTAGCAGTATTATTATCACTGATATTATTAGTAGCAACCTAAAATGACACCAATGATCATGTGATCTGAACATGAAGTCGCCCATGAGGTGGCAACCCACTTCATGTATAACAAAACAGCTTTTTTTTTTTTTTTTTTTTTTACAACAGATTGATAAGAGTGCTTATCACAAGTGAATGCACACCATTTTAATGACTTTTCTCAAAAACCATTTATTAGCTAAACTTTTTTAATGAGCAAAAAGTGCACTTTTAAGAAAACAAATCATCTGACAGATGTCAAAGGCCAGGCCTACATTCATAAAATTTACAAGAACAGCACTTAGAAGCAATTCAGCTCTCTTATTACTGATATTGTGCGCACAGGGCCTGGGGGCCACAAGGGTCACGTACTCAACAAAGTGCTCTAAAGTTTATGAGCAAACAGGATAGAGACACGTCATAAAAAAATTAATGCACTTCTCACTCGATCACAACATATGTTACACTTGCCACTTAGTAGGAGATCCTGAAGAGGACTTTATTTTTGGACTCCACTGCTAACAGGCTAATGCATAAGCAAACTCTGCAAAAACACGCAAGCGGTGGCTTGTAATGGTTTGACTAACACACTCTCTTCACTGAAGTGATCGGGATAGTTACTGTACCTGTTGAGACTGGATGAGCTCGCTGTAGTTGAACTCGGCCGAGCGTTGCTCGTTAGGCTCGGACAGACACAGGTTGAGGCGCACTGTCTTCCCTTTGGGCTCTTCGCCGTCTCTCTTCTCGATCAAACCCCCGCGGTCATCTGCTGTCGTTACCCCAGTCCCCATCATCTTCATCCTGCCCTCTCTGTCAAAACTCATCTCGGCGGCTCCGTCCTCATCCAGCCGCCGTCTCCTGCCCTCCGCGCCCGGACCGCCGGCCAGGGCCGACAGGGTGACAAATTGCACTTTTCTCGGTTCGGCCATTTGGATGTTCAGTGCTCTCGGACACTCACTCACTCACTCACTCAGTCAGTCGCACTCAGTGCCGGGGCTCGACTTCGCCAAACAACTTGATTTAAAGAGCTTCACGCCGGATGGAAGGGGCGCTCGGAGGCGGTAGTGATGCTAGAGTCCCCTCCGCGCCTTACGGGGTGCGCGTGGGAAGGGATGGCCGGGTGAAAGTTGATTTTGGAGGCGCAAGCATCCTCGATCGCTTCGCTCGGGGGACTCAAGAGCTCCGAACAGCCATCTTAGATGAGAGAGAGTAAATAAATAAAAGAGCGCAGACGAGCGAACTGAGCCTGCGCACACAGGGACACCGGAAACGGCGTGCGCGCCGGAGAGGGCGCCTTGGCCAATCAGACGACGCCGACGGTGGCAGCGCGTCCAATCAGAGGCGGGCCTACGGGCAACAGACGCTCTAATGAGCAATTAGAAATGTTACGGTAGAAAAAAAGGATTCCCCTTGAAATTGAACTAATACATAGATATGGAACTAATAGAGGAAAGTGTTTTCCAACATAATGTGGTTTAAGGTGTTTCCTAAAGGCGCTTATTATATGTTAAGAGGTTCTGTTGTTTGGATTTAAATAGCCCAGGAAATGTAATGGTAATACTTACATTTACATTAATTTACATTTACATTTAGACATTTAGCAGACGCTTTTATCATCCTCTCACTTTCCCAACATCTGCACCATCATTTACATTTAGTCATTTAGCAGACGCTTTTATCCAAAGCGACTTACAAATGTGGACAATGGAAGCAATCAAAACCAACAAAAGAGCAATGATATGCAAGTGCTATAACAAGTCTCAGTTAGCTATAATACTTAATATATATTATATAATCTTAATAATCTTATATAATACTTGACAATAACAATAATAAACAGACAAATAACAATAACGTTCCATTACTTAACGTTAGTTGATGCATTATCTAATATAACTAACAATAAACAATACATTTGTTACAGTATTTATTAATATTTTTTAAAGTGAATAAAAATACTACTATTTTTGTTTCATTTTAGCTCAGGTCCTTTAAATAATATGAACAGAGACAACTTTTTATTTTAATAATGTACTAGTAAATGTCAAATAAACAAACTAAGATTAATAAAAAGATTTTCATTTTTGATTACACTTTATTTTAAGGTGTCCTTGTTACAGTGTAATTATAAATTTAAGTACCGAGTAATTATTTTAAATTAACTGCATGTACTTACTATATGGTTAGAGTTAGGATTAGGGTTTGGTTTAGGGTTAATGCATGTAATTATGCATAATTAATTGTTATTATAATAGTAAGTACATGTAATATGAGTAACAAGGACACCTTAAAATAAAGTGTTACCTCATTGTTAGTTCATGTTAACAGATGGTTCCTTATTGTAAAGTGTTACCAATAACAATTCAATATAATTCATTTTTCTTTTTTGATGCGGTAACATTAATTTTTCTAATATTTTCTGTTAGGTTGTTACAGCCTGTTTTGAAACAATTGAATTGCCTTAGTCACTGATATCACTTGTTCTAAAGGTGTACAAATATCATGCCTGAGCTAGATAACTATAACACAGATGAATCTTCATAGCACTGTATATAATTTTATAAAACCTGTCAAATTAAGACATTTATTGTTTCCAAGACAAAACAGTAAAGGCTTATGTTGCCTCAAGTATGAAAATATATAAACTAATTTGTTGCATTGTCCATGTGAATGTGTTCTCACAGAAAACATTCACTGACATGGATACATTGTAAATATAGTTTTCTCTTTCTGACAACTGCAATTAAAAAAAAAAAGATATAATTCTTATAATTAAGTAAATGTTTTAGTGTGGCTGCACTTATTGTAGCTTTATAAGAGCATGAGATTTTTTTTCTTTCTAAGATGCATCTTAACTGTTGTACTCATCACATATTTTGTTGACAGACAAACAAGCATAAGGATACCATACAAAAATTTTTTTTTTACATAAATATCCAATAATAACTACTGCTGTGTGTTAGCACATTTGTAAATGCGATCAGAGAGCCACTCTGTTGTCTTTGGCCCATTTCTTCATGATGCGGATGATGTACTCAACTTGTGGGTTGCCAATGCTCCTCAACAGTGGCAAAACCTCCTTCAGTGTCTCTCTGAAAACAAAGCAAATAAAAAAAAAGAAAATATAAACATAGAAAACATGACCAGAGGTCAAAAACTCATTCTCTTGAGAGTTAAAGATGATTTAACAGAATTTTGCAAAACTTGGGTGAGCTACAGCTGTCTATTTTAACACTATAAAGTCTACTGCATCATATTTGATACATACATTTCTAAGGCCCCTAAATTATCAATATGATCAAAACGTTGCTGAAAAACCTGTTGTACACAGTTTACTACACTCCTTTGTCGTCTGATTGATAGTTTATACTCTTTTAGCAAGTAAAAAAAAAAAGCAAAAGTAATTCTAAAACGGTCTACCTTCAGGTTGTGGTACATGTGACTTTTTTGTCCTAAAATCTTAAATCTGATTTTTATATAGCAATCATAAAAATTATTTTTATATTGTTAGTGATATCTCAAAATGAACACTTATTAGATGGAAGCAACTAATTGTTAATTGATTATGCACAGATCTTTTTTTTTTTTTAAATATGAGTACAAATATGATACATCAGGCTTTTAAGGAATGTTTATTTGTACATCTCTCGGTCATCATAATATTGAATTGTATTGTTTTGCCCCGAAATTAAAAGATACCAGAATGTCATCTTTTTGGCCATATAAATATAGCAACTGCACCACATTGCACATTTTTGCACGGCTTAAGCCTGAATAAAACAGCTGTGTTTTTTCCTCCTCGAATGCGACTTCTTTATTTCTCACTTTATTATACTAAATGAGCCATAAAAGCCTGGTGTATCAAATATGATTCGCCAGAAAAAGCAGATATGACATTTTTCGAAATATTTGGTCTAAAGGTTCAATAAACTGTTCCATTTAAAATAAAATAAAATTTAGCTTTTTATGACTATTATTTCATATGGCTTTACTGGATTAAATGTAGAACTAATAACAGTCTAGTTTAAACTAATAAGAATTTAGTTTCATAATCTGAACCAAATAATAAAAGCTGTTAAATTGCATTTATCACCTCATTCCTCAGGCATGTCATTGGTTCATACCTGGACTCTCGGCCTGCCAGTATGAGCTGGAAGATCCCAACACATGCTCCACGCTTCCCCTCCCAGTACTCAGGGTTTTGATCCAGTCTCTCTAGAGCATCAAACGCTTTAGCTGCATAATAGAACTGCCCCATCTGAAATATAAATAATCGAATGAAACCTTCAGAAGAAAACCATGTGGGGGACACAACAAGCAGAATCAGGGCTGTAGAAACAACGGCCACAAACTTATGTGTAAATGGTTATTCCACTATGGCTAGCACTCTACTGTTTTTAACACACTGCCTTTACAGCCTTTATTAAAAAGCAATTAGTACGCAGCTGATATATGAATGAAAATGTGTTTATAGTCACGACTGGCTAAATCAGAATCTGAACCTTGTAGCAGTCATTTGCGATGAGCTGCAGGAGGCTGAAAGGGTCAGATGACGTTTCCAGTCTCAGATAGAGCTCCCAGGCCTGTCGAGCCTTCTGATTCATAATGTCTAGAACAGAGGAGGGAGGATGACATCAGACAGCGAGAGGTCTCATGCGTCTACAGAAATGACTCATCAAAAAGAGCTGACGTGTAAAAGACGCTCCCAAAGACCAGTCATTCCAGTCATTCATCTTCTTTAAAGTCAAAACCGAATTTTACTAGCCCAGAACAGGAGATCTTTTGGCCATGGTTCAAAACTTTCAAAGACATATAGGAGAACCTACAGCAGCGTGCCAACCAGCTCAGGTAAATGTAATCATTCTTGATCTTCTCATTCTGGATGAGCAGGAACACCTGTTCACATTAAATTCAGATTTAGTCATACTTGCAGATGGTTCCTAAATCATTTACTGAGCCACGGTTGTTCTGTACCTCTTCAGCCTCCCTGTAGTTTCCCAGGGCAGCCTTGGCCTGAGCGTAGTTAAAGTTGAACATGTCGTCGTTGTAGAAGTAACTCTGCAGGGAAGCGAGATAGATATTTGATGCTGATGCGGTCCCACTTTATATTAAGTGGCCTTAACTACTATGTACTTACATCAAAAAATAAGTACAATGTACTTATTGTGTTCATATTGTATTGCAAAACACTTTTGCTGCTATTGAGGTGGGATACGGGTAAGGTTAGGGACAGGTTTGGTGGTATGATTAAGGGTGGTTAAGGTGTAAGGGATGGGTCAACAGTGTAATTATAAATTGAATTACAGAAATTAATTACAGATGTAATTACATGCAGATATTTTTCAAATATAAGTACAATGTAAAAACATTTATGTACACTATAAGTGCATTGTACCAAAGTGCATGTAAGTGCATAGTAAGTTAAGGCCACTTAATATAAAGTGGGACCATGTTTTTAATGCTTCTGCTTCCAGTCCAAACACTCTGATATGTGTATTACCTTGACTGAGTTGAGATATATAAGCACATCCTCAAACTGTTTCAGCAGGAAGAAACAAGAGGCCATACACTGCCTGCCGGGTATTGTGTCTTATAAGAAGAAAATAGATCATTAAATGTGTTTCACATGTCCAGGGCAAAGTGAAATGCATTCTCAGTGAAACTAATGTACAAAACCTACATTTTATTTATGTGCTATGTAGCTAAATAAATAAATAAGTAGATAAATAAGTAAATTCATAAATCCAACAGGTACAAAATGACACTTGACAAGTGCCTAATTAAAATAAATAAATAAATAAATTGGTGAGAAAATAAAGCTATTTGCCGGTCAGCTGGTGACTGTAGTGTCAACTGCAATGTTACACAGAGATTAAATATATAATTTATTTATTTTCTTTACAGAACTCTCTGTTACACTTATATTCAATATGCCTTTTTATATTATTTTACAGAACAACAGTAAAATTTCAATACTAATATTCATGGTTGTCCTAATTTCTCTCTTGTCAAGCGTTAAACCACAGAGCTTTTATTTTTGCAGAAAACAAAAATAAAAGGATAGACCTCAAAGCTTCTGTTTTGTTGACAACAGATTCTCATAACAAATTTGGGGAGATGACGTTTGTGCGGAGCAGCGGTTACTGCAAACCGAGCCGCTCTGAGACACTGAAAACATCAGCTGCTCGCGTGTAAATGAACACAGCGCCATGCTTCAAGCAGGCTTGCCGCGATAGACGGTGCTGACGGTGATACCGGTGTGTTAAGCCGCAACACCGGTTACGTCACCGTCGTTTTGATTTTTTATAGTAATAAAAATC